AATGAGTGACCTCAACCCCAAAAATCCCCCCACCCAGCAATAAGGCCCCCTCTTTTAAAAGTGGCAAAGTTTGGACAGCACTGTCCTAGAGTATGGAAAGAACTTTTATGTGTTGAATTTGAGCAATCTTGGAGAACTGGTGAAGTTAAAGATGACTAGAGAACAGCAAATCTTGTTCCTATCTTCAAACAGGGGTAAACGTATAGATCAGCTGATCTGACACTGATACCTAGGAAGATTCTAGCTCAAGACTGATCTGTAAGCACCTTAAAAATAGTGTAGTAACTACCAGAAGGCAACATGGACTTGTCAGATTAACTTTATGTCTTGTGGGGGTTAGGTAATTTCCTTAAAAGATTGTGGGAATGCGGTAAACATAATATAACTTGACTTCAGCAACCCCATGACATTCTGCTTAATAAGTCAATGATGTGGGGTTGGAAGGGATGACAATTAAGTGGATACAAAATTAGCTTGGAAACTGCGCTCATTAATATTTGCCCATCAAACTGAAAATGGGATGCTCTGAGATTCAACCCTGTATCCCCTGCTCTTTAATATTTTTTATTCATGACCTGGATGAAGAGTGGACAGAATGCTTATCAGTTTTCAGATGATACAAAATTGGGTGGGATAGCTAATACTCTAGAAGACAGAATTAAAATTCAAAGCAATCTTGATATTTTAGAGAAACAGGCTGAAAGAAACAAAATGAAACTTAACAGAGACAAATGCAGTGTTATTTAGGAAATGAAAAAAAAAATAGGATGCAGAATACCTAGCTTAATAATACTACTTTTGAAAAAGATTCTGGAATAGTTGATCATAAAATGAGTCAGGTGTATGCTGTGGGTACAAAAATGAAACTTTAAGTTGTATCAACTTGAAGTTTCCAAATTGCAATACAGGTAGTCCTCACGCAGCAACCCCTCATTCAGCAACTGTTTGAAATAATGATGATGCTGAACAAGGAGACTTGTGACCGGCCCTTGTAGTTGCAGCCGTCACAGCATTCCCATGGTCACATGATTGTGATTTGGGTACTTGGTGCCCAGCTTGCAATTACAATGTCGCCGTATCCTGTGGTCAGGTGATCGCCATTTGCAAACTTCACTGCTGGTTTCCAACAAGCCAAGTCAATGGGGAAGCCAGCAGGAGGTCGCAAATGGCAATCATGTGATGTTGTGCCTAATGACCGCGCAGGAGTTGCTTAACAAAGGCAACTGGAACTGCCAGAAATCCATTGCAAGTTGCACGGTCATGTGACATCACACTTTACTACCACGTACCTTAATGACAGAATTCCTCATCTCAACTGCCACCTTTAAGTGAGGACTACCTGTAATAGTTCCAATTTATTTTGCTTTGATTGGATTTCACCTCAAGTACTGTGTTCATCTGGGCACCACATTTTAAGAAGGACTCAGAGAAACTTGAACTGTGTTGAAAAAAGACAAGAAAGAGCTAGAAACTAAATTGTAAGAAGATAAATTGAAGGAATTGGCCATGTTTACTCTTGGGAAGACTGGGGAAGTATAATGGGATTCTTCAAATGTCTGAAAACATGTCACACAAAAGATGATCAAACCCTGTTCTCTATTGTCCCAGGATGCACAAACAATGGACTTCAGCAAAAGGAAGGAAGTGACTGTAGTAGAAACTAGGCCGTCATAAGTTACCAATGCTGTAGTTTAAATTCTTGCATTGGAAAATTCTATGGATAATATGCTCTGCACAAGGCTTGTATGTCCATCTCTAGTAAGCTGCATCTACTTGCTTTAAATGTTTGCATCTATTCACAAGGCAAAATCTGAAAAGACTGATAGTATGTAAGGGTGGGTCTGATAAGGGCTTCTGCAAGTGGTTCTACAAACTGAGCATACCAAATTGCTCTGCAGGCCAGATGTCTACAGCATAATGAAGACATGTCTCTACATGCGTATCACATTCCAACAGAAATTCTCTGTTCATTTATTTCAATTTAAATATTCCAGCTACCTCCAAATAACTGGTAATCATATTTGATGAGGATGTGTCCAGCAAGCAAGCAAGGAGTGGGAGGGGATATCAAATTAAAACCGTAACTAGTTCAACAGTTCTAGTTAGGAACAAATCCTAAACAAACCCTGAACATTGATTTTTACTGTATTCTATAGTAAAATGAATACACTTAAGCAAGAATCATAACTGTGCACAGTATTGCTGCAAATAAACAAGCCTGTTTTCTTTCTTTCTTTCTCACCCACATTTTACATCACCTTTATGGCTTTTTAACCCAAACCTGAGCAGGAAAACATATGTAAATGAACCTTTATTTAATATGATGAAACATTGATAGGGAACGCCGCCTCCCCTCCAAACTGCTGCTTTATTGTGGCATGCACCGGACTGCCAATAGGAGCAGAGGAATGGGGGAAGTAATCATATTTCAATCCTTTTCAGATCTTTTGTTTTGTTTTTCTTCTCTTTCCAAACAGAACAATCAGCCATTTTTAACTAAGAGTTACAAAACGTAGTCAATTTAAAAAACCAAACTATTGTAAAGTGTTGGAAACAAGAGATTTGTGTTGTGGCCTTTTTTTTATGCCTCAGGACCTAACGTGCACTTCTGACAACCCAAAAGGCCTTACTTCTGGGTAGGTATATCTAGGGCAGTGTTGTCCAAACTTGGCCACTTTAAGATGAGTGGACTTCAACTCCCCCCCCTTCCCACCCCACCCCGC